GACTCCACGTTATTGTGAGGGTAACAGTGACCCTGTGGATTTGGTTTAATTCAGCAATGTGACCTGATTCTCTAGCCGTTCTTTCTGTCAGCTCATGGGAAACAAGGCTAGTGTTGTGCACAACCTGAATCATGTGTCTTAATTAAATCTACCAAGTTAAGGGAGTGAAAAAGGTTTTGTGCTGTGCTTGTTTTCTTTAGGAATCCAGTAACGTCTGACAATGCAGATATGGAGCTCTCTCCACCTCACACTCTATTCCTCTGGGCTTTTTGAAGGGATGAATTCCCCTTTTATTTTAGAACAACTCACAGTCTCGAAACAGATGACTAACAGTGTTAGTCAAATATAATTAAGGCAGTCCAGTTGATGAGAATAGTGAGAGTTCCTTTTTTAATGAATCAGTGTTGATAATCTCATTTGAGGTGATGTGAATCAAGTCATTTTTAGAAACATACTTTCTTCTCTGCAGAGTTAACAGAACTGTTAAGTTCAGACTGAAGTGCTCAGTGAGATTGGAAAAAATAAACTGCATCTTTTAGATGTCTGGATCTTTTGGAAAGCTACAACGGCACATTTGACAGCCAGGAAAAGAGCAACATTTAATAATTTTTTCCTCACATCTTCTGCTCTAATAACTCTGACTGACTGCAGTGTGGGTGGTCATATGTAAATGTGTTCGTTGCTGTAACATCACAACCATGATGAATTTCAAATTGAGCTTCTGGCAGCTTAGTTTGAATATATGTGGTCTGCATGGCCAAACCTTACAATGTTTACGCACATAGTTTTAGGCACCTAAGCACATTGTTTAACCCTTTTGTTTTCATATGAAGGCTAAAGCAGCGAGCTAATAGCAGGTTTTACAGTGGTCTGGCTGTGTTTAAAGCTGTATTTCTGGGGTTTTTTCTCACTCTGGCTAGTGATGGCAGGTTCCTCTGAGTGTTCTGGTGTGTGAATCATGTCGTTATTTTTAAGCCTTTATTTATAATATGAAGGCTAAAAGCAGAGATGTAATAAAACAGTAGCGAGTGGGTTTTGGGATATTTTGGAGCTGGATTGCTGGCTGATGGATGGTCACAGGTGGATGAAATCACTCTGGATGGTGAGGAGTCTGCTGAGTGATCTGATGTGTGAATCATGTCGCTGTTTTAACCCTTTGTTGGAATATGGAGACCAAAAAACAGCAATAATATCAGGATTTTGGATGATTTTCCAAGCCGAAGTACTCACTGATGATTGTTGACGTGCTAGCTAGCTAGTTAGGGCTGGGTCTGCTGAGTGGTCTGATATGTGTATTATGTCTGTAGTTTAAACCGTTTTGAAGTTATGAAGGCCAGAAGTTACCTACATTTTTGGGCTTCGGGTTAAAACCATTTATCTTGGCACTAAGTGTGTTTTTGTTTGTAAAAATACCAGATATCATTATAATAGATGCAAACAAACAGTAAATAGAAACCATAAGTTCCAGATTTCTCCTTGATGCCCTGAGCGATTGCATGGGTTTATTCATTTCAGTCACCAGCACACTTGATTTAACATAATAATGAAGCATTGATCAGCCAAACCAAGCATTTGATGCAATACTGCAATTAATACTGGGCTTCCTTGAGGAGAGATCTGGAAACGGTTAAATGAATACACTGTCTTACATAAAGATCCCTCCTTATTGTCTTAATATTACTTTATTTGTCCTCATGCTAGTGTTTTCCTGAGCAAATAAACTCTTACTGCCCTAATGAAAAGCTTTTTAATTCTCATTTTCTCAAGTGCCTAAAACATTGGCATCTGACTCTCATTTCAAAAACAATTCGGTTTTCCATGATATGGCCCCTTAATTTACTGTAGAGGATTCTAGGTGACTCTTCTTGGACTTGCTGAGTGGCAGAGAGTGCAGATAGAGACGAATCCTCTGCTGGGAAGCTAAGGAACTCAAGCCTTAGCTTGGAAATCACTGGCCCTCCTCATGCACTGACACTTCGCTGGCTTGCAGCAGTCCCTGGGTGGAGCTGATGTCTCTATTTCCAAACTGATTTTCTCTCCAGAATGATGTCAGTGCACACAGATTTTTTGCACCGCAGAGAGGCCGTGTACTGCCGATACCCAAGTTCAATCGGCCACATACACACATACACATGCGTTCACTCTGTTCTTCAAGTACGACATGCATAAGTACTGCGTCCAAGTTGTTTGTACACGCTTCTTTACAATAGCTCCGCTTCTTGTCAGCACATCTGTAGAGTTCAGCAGTCCTGCGGTTCTTTCATCACATTTTCACAGCATGCCACAGCTCTAGAGTTTCACAGTCAGAGGAAAGTGTGACCCAATCTGATTAACAGCCTTTAATAGACGCTAGAGGTCTGCACGGGCATGAAATTGGATAATGCTTTTTTTTTTTACAGTCCCCTAAGTTGTAGGTATTATAACCAGGTAAGTGTGAGGTCCAAACTCCAAAGTACTAGATGATTATTTTTGGTAACATGGTGGTTTTGAGGTTCAACAGGTTCTAGCTGTTATGCTACTAAAACGCATAGTAAAATACCTCATAAATATTTGGAGTAACAAGGTGGTAAATACACTACATTTCACTGTAATTACACATGCATAAGCAGGAGAGTAAATCAGAAATGTTCTAATGTACTGGCTAAATTAAATAATGTGAAATTATGGCACAAAATGGACCCAGTAGAACCACAGCACAGGTTTCTTTTACAGCCAAGGTACTAGGTACTTACAGGTAATATACAACTACATGTAAAACTCTCTGTACTTTCTTAGAGTACAATTTTTTTTTTAATATCATATAACTTCCTACTTTTCACCAAACATAATTACACAGCACTGTGGAACTAATATAACATACTTACCCTGTTAATACTAGAACCTGTTGGGCAATTCAGTGTAATGTAGATACAATGGTACTTACCATGATGTTGCCCAAAGTGATTATCTAGTACTTTGGAGTTTGTGCCTCACAGTTACCTGGGTAATATTTACAACTCAAATTGAAGCCTAAACCCAACCAGTACCTGCTTCTTTAACACCTGACCCAAGCCAATTTGGCCCGATTAGTAACCCAAACCTGACCCAAACCCATTGACACACAATAAAAGAGATGAATTACCACAGAAACAGTTTTTCAGAGCTTTGCATTGTTACTAAACATCATGCTGAGATAAACTGGTGTTTTACACATTTGTATTACTGGCAGTATTTGTTATCAGTAGATTTTCTGTTTGGAGGAATTGCTGATTGTACCTGGCAAATAACAGCATCCACCCCTCTCTGATCAACTGTTTGCCCCGATGGGCTAAAGTTCCTCTGCTGCTTGCAGAAGTGACTAGTAAGAAATGGGAAAGATCTGCTGACTTTTCTACCAAACCCAACACATCCCTCTCACAATCTATTGTGTGACTGCAACTGGCGAGGAATCTGGAGAGGAACCAAGACCCAGAAGGGGAACCCCTCCTCCTCTTATCAACCCCGGATAGCAATACAATAACACAATTTGAGGGCGATTTAAATAAAGCAAGCTTCTGACCACAGAACTGCTCTTGGCTGGATATTTTTGGGTGGTGAACCACTCTCAACCTAGCAGTGACACTGATGTGTCTAAAAACTCCAGTAACGCTGCTGGGTCTGACACACTCGCACAAGCAAAACAAACATTGCCATGTCCGAGCCACCGTTGAAAATGATCCACCACCCGTAATATCTGGTCACCAGCAGTCCTGAGGTCAGAAACTGACCGATGCTGAATACAGTTAAAGGAAGCTGACAAAATGGTACAACAGATGGGCCTCTGTCTATATTTGTACACATAGTGGAGTGATAAATGGAGGCACAAGGCAGATGTTTCTAATAAAGCAGATGCTGAATGTATGTTACTTCAGATTAAATAAGCTTCTCGGAATCTTAAGAGAAGAATTATTAGAGCTCCATCATTGATTATGATCAGCATGACATTAGGGCACTCTGGGTAACCTTATCACAGTTAGATATGAACTGCATATCCTAGTTGCAATGAGCCGTGAGATCTTGGTTTACACTCAGGTATTTATTTTTGAACCATATCTGCCTTGGCTGAGGCTTTGTTCTCTTTGTTCTCTCACTCTGAATTTGAGTCAAGTTTCTTAGAATAGGACTGTGCGGTTTACTGCTGTTAATAAGCACCAGCACACTTTACTCTGCAGCAGGCTGTCAGCTGTGTAGTTTGAGGTTATTTTTTAATGAATTAACAGTTGTTAAGCAGTATTGTAAACTACTAGCTGTACTGTTCATGTTCACGAACACACACACGCACACATGCAGGTACACGTTTGTTTTCATATAGCGTCAGGATGTGGATCATATATATGTCCATACACCTCCTAACAACCGCGCAAGACCTGGTAGACCACCAAAACTCTCATCATCAGATAAACAGTACTTAAAGGCTTTATCTTTGAGAGACGTGAGAAAATCAAGCTCCACTCTTTCTTCAGATCCACAGTTGTTTCTGTCCATCCTTAAACTGTGACAAGACAACTCAGCACTATGAGTGTGAAAGAATGTGTAGCTGTCCAGAAGCTGTGACTGAGGAAAGAAATTAGGAAAAAAGGACCAAGAAAATTAGCTGATTAAACAAAGAAGCTGCTGGTGTTCTCAGAACAATGGACTGACCACCCCAGAGTCCAGACCTCAACATCGCTAAATGTGTTTGGGATTACTTGGATAGAGGGAAGCAGAAAATTAAACCAATTTCTAAGACTGAACTTTGGAGATGTGGAAAAGTATCCCTGCAGTTTTCTTTGAAAGTTTAAAGCTTAAACAAACACTTAACAAATTAAAGACCATTTTACTGGTCCTAACATTGTATATCACCCCTGCTTTCCTTTTGTTTTCCCGCTCAGTCAGGCCATTTTTGTCTTGATAATATACAAAAACAAGCACACTCACACAGCATCTGGAACATGAGCAGAGAGGCTGCAGGGCGGAGAAAAGAAGGGGGAGGGTGAGGTCTCACTTTTCATACAGCAGTGCCTACATAATGAGCCGAGGGGAAGAAAGTGAGAGACTTTGCTGAACTCTCATTGCAGTCTGCGCTCTAAAGAAGGTCAGATCAGTTGGCAGAGCATCAGAATCGAGAAAGCCTGCAGACGCCAGCAAACAAACATCTACTGTGTTTGAGCAACAGGCTCGAAGTGGAAGGAAGAAAAGAAAGAGGGGGGAAGTAGGAGGAGGGGGAGACAGATCCAGGGAAAAGGCTTTTTAGAGGAAACGGACACAGAGGTTTGCCGGTCCACAGAGTGCAGCGAGCGTGTAGAGAGACACATACAGACGTGGCTGTGCTGCCTGCTGCTGGAGGGATTTTAATGAAGCTCAGCAGCTGTGGGCCACACCACTGTTAGATGCGTTTGCCTTCAACATGCGGAGTGACCCTATTTTGTTCGCCTCAAGGGGTAAGTGTCCATCAGCATCAAAACCTTCATAATGAGTAACTTGGTAGTGAATTAAAGTGAAGTAAAGTGTATAATCAAGTACAAGTTTGCATGGGTTGGCCTATAATGTATCAGTCGTCCGTTGACTTGAAGCGTAAGCTGCATATGGTTCTGATTTGGCTAAGTGGGCTCAGGAGTGTGCACTGCTCCAGAATAATCTACACTTACTTGTAGGTGCTGTTTCTGCTGTATAGACCTAGCACTTGATGTTTTATTATCCAAATGCACTGCAAAATGCTAGGTTCTTTTGAAGGAATCATGCTACAAACTTTCCCAAATTCCCTCTCTGCTATTACTGAGGAAGTGGAGAGCCGGTGAGTGTCCACTTCATGAGTCAGACTTTCTCTTGCGTTTCTCGTCCAGTGCTCACAATGGCTCAGTTCATTGTAACTCCTCTGATGGGAAGGACAGGAAATTGTGAAATAAAGAGATACACATTCAAAGCAGGGGATCAGTTATCCTCTACTGGAAGTCCTCACTTGATTGCTTTTCCGTTTTGCCTGTAACGGTTGATATGAGACCGCTTTGCTTTGAGTAAATAACAGAGTTTCGTTTGGAGCTTGTTGCATAGACAGACCAGAAGAGTGTATACAAGACATCAGTGGCTATTATCATTAGCTTAGAATGGACATTGTTATTGAGTAACACTACAAAGGCGCATAGATTAGTCTATGTAGTTAAACAAACATTGTTTTTCTTTTTTACATTTTTCATTAGAGTACTGGTAAAAAAAATCTACAAACCTCTGTCCTGCTTCCCCCATTATAATTGTACACACTTGATGAAAGTAACCGTTACCTACAGACAGGATGCTGCTGATTGGTGGGCTGCTGGACAGCTGCATGGTGTCACATAACCGGCTCGTGCGTGGTCAGATATGACAGACCCCCATTGTGCACGGGGCTGTACCACAGAGCAGGGCAGAAATGTGGTCTGCTGCAGAGGGCAAGTGTGATTATAAGGTCAAAAAAATCTTATTTGCAGTGTGCTGTAACTGCAGCAACTTAGCCCTTTCAATGGCCAGGACCATTGTAAGGCTTACTATTCAGCAACGTGAACTACAGTGCAAACTGTCTGAGTTATTCTTAAGTAACAGAAGTAGGTAATAAATCTGAGGATGTAGTAAGACTGGGATTTTAGGAGGGTTTAAGGAAAAGGGTGTCATGCTGGGGCTGATGGGGTTGTTGGTTTTAATCTTTGGTTTGAGTTTGGTTGGTATAGCGTAGTGGGCAACACCTCTGACTTTGCCGTAGACTGGGGTTCAGTCCCCCACCTGGCCAAGCACCCTACACTATACCAAGTGGTCCTTGGACAAGACTCCTAACGCTACCTTATCCTACCTGTGTAAAAATGATCAAAGCGTAAGTTGCTCTAGATAAGAGCATCTGCCAAATGCCATAAATGTAAATTAATCTTTCTTAGCATTTGTGTAATTCATTAACTATCATAAATGCTTTTGTTTTACAGCAGAAATAGAGCATCACTAGGAAATCAAATCAGTTTCATTGTCGTCACTGTGATGTGATGTTTCGTGTAGAAATGGTCAAGCACCTGTGTTTATTATCTTGTTTTGGTTTAAAAATAGCCCAGGCTGGAGATGTTTCTTCTCTGTTGCTGTAGTAAGAAGTCTGTCTGTAAGTGTCTGGATGGATGTTGCTGTGTGTGGATTTATCCCTGCGCTGCTTTGACCTCGTGTTAGGCACTAATGGTGGTTAATGTGTTTATTGGCATTCATTACAGTCTCTCTCTATGTTGTCAGCCTGGTCGGACGTGGTGTCACTTGGCACTCCATTAGTGTGTGTGGTGTGGGTGCTGCTCTGTTAACCCATTTGGCTTTGTTTTAGGGGCTCCCCTTTCTGACAGACTTCCCCAGTGATGGCTTTTTAAAAGCTTTCACATGCCAAAAAAATCCCAGAAGAAACCCCCCACCCTTAACCCCCTCTTCTTCTGCTGATGTCTGGCCCCAAAAAAGAAGAGAGAAGAAAAGAAAAAGAAAACAAGCTCTCTCTTCCATCTCTCTCATTCACTCTGTCGGGTTTTGGCTTCAGCGCACAGTCTTTCTTTCTTTCTTTCTTTCTTTCTTTCTTTCTTTCTTTCTTTCTCTCTCTCTCTCTCTCTCGAGATCTCTTGATCTTTCAATCTCTCGATCTCTCTCCATTTCTTTCTTCTCTTCCTACCTCTCTCTCACCCCTCCCTGTTTCTGCTCCTTCTTTCTTTTTCTCCCTCTTTCCATTTCACTTTCAATTTCTCTCTTCTCTTCTATCTGCTTTCTGTTTCTTTTTCTTGTATGCCCTCTCACCACCTATTTCTCTCATTCTCCCTTCCTCTGTTCCTCCTCTCCCTCTATTTGTCTCTCTCCTCCTGCTCTCTCCATTCTTTACTACTCTTCCTATCTCTTGTCCTCTTTCTCTCTCTGTTGTGTTTATGTCTCTCTGTCTCTGTTGTTTCTCTTCCGCTGTTCTCTCTCTCTGTATATCTCTCTTGTTTCTCTCTGTTGTATCTCTCTATTTCTTGGTTGTTCTCTTTCTCTCTCTGTTGTTTTTCTGTCTCTCTCTCTGTTTTTCTGTCTGTTCTCTCTCTCTCTCGTGTTTCTCTCTGTCGTTTTTCTCTGTAGTGTCTTTCTCTCTGGTGTTTCTCTCTCTGTTTTTTCTCTGTCTGTTGCTTTTCTCTGTTCTTTCCCTCTCTCTTGTTTTTCTCTCCCTCTGTCAGTTGCTACTGTAAACACTTGTGGGGAAGCAAGTGTTTCTCATATATTTGCTAATCAACAGAAAGTAGAGAAGAACTGAGGTCAGCTAAACAACTTCAGTACACTACTCTGTTCTGTGCTGTGAACTATAAACCTTACATTTCGTCTGGCTATAAACAAGCCTTGAGATCAATTGAGAGTACCTACATGGAGATACTCAGAGATTACATAATCTTACATAATGCTACATAATTATGTAGCATGTGATCAGTGTATTTTATGATTTTAAGTCTAATATGCTGCGTTTATAGGTTGTTGTTTTTTTGTATTGTTTTGCTGGTGTAAGTGGGGTTAGTGAGGGGCAGACTTCCTGGGGAGTCTTAATGGGCCTAATTATTCTATAAGAGGATCAGATAAAGTCAAGGGCAGCAGGACTGTCTAGAAGGAAGATTTCAGCTATTATCCAGAGATAAGTCTTTTAAGCATTTATTTAGCTTACAGTTAGTAAACAGTACAGATTAGTGATTTACACAATGATTCAGTTATGATTCTTAAGGAAATGATCCACTGCATTATGAAATTTCAAGCTTAACCACAATTTGGTTTGATTTTTTGATTGAGTTTGGTATGACTCTGAATCATTTTTAAAAATACACCCGATACACAAGTGTGACTTGGGGAACTGTTTATATAGAGGAATTCAGGTAATAAAAACAATACATCAACCCTGTTTGGACCTTGACATTTGAAAACATCCCAACAAGTTTACTTAACTGAAAGAATGAATGCATGCTTTATTTAATATTGTTCTAACCAATTATAACCACATTTATAACTAGAGATAGTACGATTCAGGAAGAAATACACAACTAACAATATCGCATCATACAATGTTAGTGTTCTGATATCGGCTCGATACCGATACCCATTGACACCGATATGCTGTCTCTATTTATAACTTTACAACATTGATGCAGTTGAATCACCACCTTTAGATTGATGCATTACAAGCTTTGGTGCATTTTTACGTTGAAAGCGAAGAAAACAACCATTGTTGAATATACACTAAATATTGTGTATACACCAAATGTACTTACACACAAATGGTGAAGGTACTCCAAGCAGACACACTGTATGACTCATAGTCCAGTGTATGCTTTCTGAGACAAAGAAAGAAGGAGTGAGAAAGTGAGAGCGAGAAAAGTAGTGGTGCACAGAGAGGCTGTTTACAAAGGCACCATGAAGTCTCCCAGCCACCCCAGAAGAAATGCATTCTAAAACCACTGCCTCCTCACCCCCAGCCCTCGACTCACTGCGGCTTACAGATTAGTGCTCTGTAATCACACACGCACATATTTACGAATAGAGACCACTGTACAGATGCACAGTTATTCACATAGACCCTCTCATTGATGATCATTGGTCTGTTTGATGTATCTCTCTGTACATCTGGAAAATTACTGTAGTCCATCATTTGCAGAGGAATGGAGCATCTGCTGGGTATTTATAACTCTGCTCTGCTCTTTACGTTTACTGTGTCATTTAGCTGTCAGACTCACTCTGAGGTGCATTTCACAAATACCCAAACACACACTCTCTCCTTCCACACCAACCAACATCTGCTCGGAAGAGGTACCTATACAGTACAGGTGCTAGACATACATACGAGTGTGTCTGCTTGGTATGTTGTAGCAACATGTAACTACAAAGCCTAAAGCACACGTGGTTTGCATGGCACATTTGCTGTGTAACTGTTCATTAGGGGTGGGAGAATATAGCAAGATTTATCATTATTGTGATAAATTATGTCACATTACACTTAAAGGGCTCACATCCTACATTTTTTTTTCCATTCCACTCATGACATTTGTTTGAATTTATGTGCCAAAAATGTTCATAATTCATTTTTATGTGACCATTTTCCATCCCTGTGCCTTTCACAGATGTAATACAATGAGCTCTGTTTTGGTTGGCCTGTATTCTTCCTCATTCAAAATGCGCTCAAAGCTGAAACACAACTTATAACTTCAGTATGAATGGGCGGGGCCAGACTGCTGTAGGCTAAATTAGGCAGATATAAATGTGTTCTTGTGACGTCACAGCAAGTTTACATGTATGAACTTTATGGACTGGGAGTGAACTTAACAGTTTGAAACTTTAACAGTGTTTGTCAAATCGCCCCTCCTGTTTGAGTAGTTAATGCTGGGAGATCATGTGTAATTCATTCTGAGGATTTTCAGGAACTGGGGTGAAAAAATCTTATGTGTGTGTTGTG